ATACTCCAATAATCACCTTGTCGAGAATCATCTGTGATAACTTCCTCTCTACTTGTTGTGTGTCAAGACCGACCATCTTGGCAATATGGGCAATTTCAACGCGTGAAAAGGGCTCGATTACTTTGATTAGATTCTGTTCCAACATGGCATCATAGAGACGACGGAGATGGTTGCGGATGAAGGCATCGGAGCCGAGTTCATGACGGTAATCGCCAAGTGCTTTTTCATATTCTTCTAGAGAACGGTTGGAGTGGGCACGAGCGACGGCTTTCATGGCTTCGAGATTCTTGCCTGCATATTTGATGGCTTGTTTGGAGGTCATGAGTTGGTTGACATCGTCGGCAAGGTTGAGCATAATTTTGCAAAGAAGCATGTATTGAAGCGCTGCGGTAGCTTTCTCCGGCTCGTCTTGTGTGTGGTACCCATCTAATGCTTCGATGAAGTAGGAGAATGCGGTATTGAAGTCTTTGTCCTCGGCATGGAGTTTTCCAGATTGCATATCAAGGCCGGCTTGGAGAAGAGGAGGGGTATACACAGATGCGGCGCTTGTTCTGGCAGCAGTAAGTGCGGCGCGTCCTTTGGCTGTGTTTCCTAAAGCATGGTAGACGCGGGATTCCAGAAGTTGAACTTCGACGAGGACAAGCTTATCATCGAGACGCTTGAGCTCGCGGAGGAGGCTGTTGATGAGGGTAAGAGCATCGTAGTAATCTTGCTTGATCATGTAAAGACTGACGAGACGGGTTTCAAGGTTCTGTCTTAGGAAGCCACGACGTTCGGATGTGGCCCATTCGATACATGATTTTGTGACGGTAATTTGGGTATCTGTTGTGTTGGGAATGGCATTGAATAGATCCAAAAGTTGTCGCACTGAAGTAAAAGCTTATTAGCAAAGTCCCAACAATACCATTATACAGACCACTATCTGGCCAGACATGGAAGTTCCCAATCTTCTTACCTAGCTTTGCTGTTTTAGCTTTTGCGAATGATGATAATACTGTCCGGCTTGTTGTGATCAGATCTACCAACTCATTTGCTTTCCTATACAGAAATCAGTGACTACCCCAGATTTAAGTAAGCTCTGGGTTATATGCCGCTCACTTTTCATCTCGATACAATTCTCCCAAGCTCACCAACGCAGTTTCGTATTCTCGAACAGAAGCTTCTGATGTTACTGAAGGTGGTTTGGAAATGATGTCCTTGTATTCTGCCTCTGCCTTTCTTGGATCTGTCTTTGCCAACTTTTGGGCTTCTTGTATCCTTAATGATTCTGCTGGTGCCATATTTGATAATTTTAGAGAATTAAATTTGGGTAGAGTTGTGAAGTTGTGTTTGATGTTTTGAGGGAATCGCATTTGTAGGTAAACTCGCCATTACGATGCCACTAGGAACCTGGAGCTTGTGGGTACTGCGCTAAAAAGCAACACCCCTGCAAAAATTTATTTGGCTGGATTTTTATTATCACCTCAATATTTCTTTGCGATAACTTCAACTGTAACTTTCAATTTTTCAATAATGACAACAACATACTGATTTTAATATGGTAAGTTAAGATTTTAATCAATCATTGATCTGTATACTTTGCTAATTCAGCTTCTCTATAGAAGATTAAAGCACTCAGTCGGGCGTCCATTCAGGCCCCAGGGTCTGAAGCCAAACAGCCCCGCAACCTTGGTATGTATAATTGATTCTATGAAGGGCACTGGAAGGCAGATATTGATACTTTCTATAGATCCAGCATTACATCCATTCGAAAGAGCCCGAGAATACACCCGCGCCCTCAATGCCACAAAAATGGAGAGGATGTTCGCCGCTCCTTTCATCGCGCAATTAGGAAAAGGACATGTCGATGGAGTATACACGATGGCAAAGGATCCCAATGCTCTCGAACGTTTTGCAAGTGGTAGTGGTGATGGTGTTGTGAAGGTATGGGATCTGACCTCTCGGGATGAGATATGGCAAACTAGTGCGCATGAGAATATCATCAAAGGCATGAGTTGGACAAGGGACCAGAAACTTTTAACTTGCGCAAGTGATCGATCGATCAAACTTTTCGACCCCTACAATACAACTACTGGATCTGCGCCCGTGGCAACGTGGTTGGGGACCAATGCATTTACAAGTTTATCACATCACCGTTCGAATAATGCATTCGCAGCGGCATCTGGAGTCATCTCAATATACGATCTCGAAAAACAGAATGCGCCACCCGATGTTTTGAAATGGCCAAATTCGACTGATACTATTACCAACGTGGCATTTAATCAGGTTGAAACCTCTATACTTGCTTCCACTGCTACTGATAGGTCGGTCGTATTATATGATCTTCGAACTGGACTTCCCATTCACAAAACGCTGCTCAATTTTGCCTCGAACGCTATATCGTGGAATCCTATGGAAGCATTTAATTTCGCGGTAGCCAACGAAGATCACAATGTCTATATTTTCGATATGAGAAAGATGGAGAGAGCATTAAATGTGTTGAAGGGTCATGTTGCTGCTTGCATGGATGTAGAATTCAGCCCAACTGGTGAAGAGCTCGTTACAGCATCATACGACAGGACAGTCAGGCTATGGAGCCGGACTAAGGGGCACTCAAGAGATATTTACCACACCAAGCGTATGCAGAGGGTTTTTTCGGCAAGATGGACACCAGATTCTAAGTTCATTCTTTCTGGTTCGGATGATGGCAACATTCGATTATGGAGAGCCAATGCTTCAAAGCGAGAAGGCATTAAATCGGCAAAACAGCGGACTGCTCTGGAATATAATGAGGCATTGTCGGAGCGATATGCTCATATGCCCGAAATTAGACGCATCAAACGTCACAGACATGTTCCCAAGGTCATTAAGAAAGCTGGAGAGATCAAATCCGAGGAACTCAAGGCCATTAAGCGCAGACAAGAGAATGAACGCAAACATACTAAGAAGCAATTCTCGAAGAGGCGAGCAGAAAGAGAGAAAATGGTTTTGGCAAACGAAAAGTAATATTATGTATGATTGTCTGGGACACACTATCTATGGGTGCGGAGTCAAGGTAACTGGCGGTATACGCGAGGCGTTTAGAGACTATGGCTGGTTTTGGAATACCACACATTACATTGATTGACTTGAAGGTAGAAAATGGAGATGTGATAATGAATTTATATCGCTGGTTCAAGTGCCCTGCATATCTGTCAATTATGCTTCCCGAATGAACAAAATGCTAATACAGCAAGTGCTCATAACGTCTTTTTTGATGCTACCATATGCTTAAATCAATAGTCAAATCAAGCAAGATGACACTACCTTACTTGAATCCCATTAGTTTTAACACAAGCTTGTGAAAAGATGATATCGAGCTCTTCAACACGTATTTTGAACTTCAAATCAGTATTGTAGTCATATTACTTTATTGGGTGTTATCACATTGACTAAAGCTGTCTAGGATGGTATCTTAATCCGCCCGGAACTCTACTGAAAAATCCCTTCGATATCATACCTCTTCCAATTTACAAGTTATATTCCTTCACATCCCCATATGAATAAATCAAATTTTGATATTCAGTCAAGGAATTGAACACACTTAGAGTGATTATATATGTAACGCCTAAAATTCCTAGCTGCGGTTCTTTCATGCTGAATACGAATTTTCTCATAAGTAGAAGGAAAGACAGCAATTGACAGGAAAGCAGTGAGATTGATATTCGAAAAAGCTCTTCTGTTGTTGGTACAGGCAGCATGATTGGTAACGCTAATAATAACTATTAGGATGGCAAGCGTGCTACTTCACCGAAATCATGTTCGACGCTGGAATCGGATCCGCGTTCAGGAAGTAAAGATTTTGGTAACATTCCGAAGATTCCGTTCAAATCCCTTTTGAACTATTCTCTTCACTTGAAAATGTCATCTTTCAATACCTGTGATCCTCCAGCACTAACAGCCGAAAAGATTCGGCCAAATCAATCACACACTGTCATTCCCACAGCCGTTGATACTACTAGCATATGACATCGATTCTCAATGCAACGAATTGGAGACTTGCAGACTTGGAAATAAAGAGTCAAAAGATTTTCGGGTTATTTGGTAATTCTCTACTGTTCCAGGTGTGTTGGCTTTGCCTGTGCTCAAGGGTCTCAGTATCTTATATCGGTCGGTACAAGACGTTCCATTCCTTCAAATGTACATTGCTAAACAAATGATTCATCCGACAGAAAGGAAAGTTCCTTGGTATTGACTGTGTCACAACGCCACCGTTCGACTCAACTCCTCAATAACAAAGGAATTTTAACGTGATGGTACCTGCATAGAAGATTTCCTCGTTGAAGTTACATCTATTCCTATGTATCTCATACTATCTCACGTTTCGTTTGCTCGCCGGCTAACATTTATGTCTGCTGTCCGAATTAATGTATCATGATAGGACCTTTAAGTCTCAGAAGGCCTCGTGTAAGGATTTGAGCTCTCGAACTGGATATTTTGCTAAGGTGAGGAGCTCATGGCACGAAGTCTTGCGCACTCTCCGGCTTGAGCATTCCAATTTTGCACCTCTACCCTGGTCTGATATAGGCTGCGAGACCTGGGGTTCGTTCAGTATCTTCGAGCCTTTATCCATTACGGCAATAACTTTGAACCCTATCGTTTGAGGTAGAAACAGGTTCAGATGATGTAAGTGATTGATTTTCAAAAATCTGAGTATTGTAAGTAGTCACAGTTGATTGGCTTTGTCATGACCTCCCTTAAACTTCAATAATATCTACATATATTGCTTGAGCCCGGCTCTCGAAATGAACAAACAGCAACGCATCTGTACACTCCAATACTCAGGTGATCGAACAAATCTTCCTAAGCGTCTGAAGTTCCTCCATTTGTGTGTATTCATCACCTGTCATTGCGGCCCCTCATACTCCTTTTCGTCTTGTAGCTAACATCGAGCTAGCTCAAAATTCAGGAATCCCTATATCCTCGAGATCATCTATTCGTCATCCAGACAGTCCACTATCACCAACCCCTTTACATTTACTATGCTCTGTCCTATCTCTGGAACGAACAACATGTCAAAACTTGCTTGTTGCACAACCGATACTTGTCAAGCATTGCTCTCCACTAAAGATTACGTCGAACATTACATCGTCACAAATAAAGAGGGGAGTACAACAAAAATGGCACCAATTGAGCATTACATTGGAACTTCTGATGGAAAAGAAGTTACAAGTGTTCCTGATGGAGAGATGAAAGATGTGGTTATTGAGATTCGCTTGTTTGGCTTTAGAGCATTAGTGGTGATCGTGGAGAACTGTGGAGAGGACACTTGTCAGATGACTCCCAGTTGTGAACATCGCGGGGTTAAGATTTCTTTCGCACAGAAAAATCCTGGTGATGTTTTGGGGGGGCGCTATAAGACCACTGAGACTGCCGTTTTCCCTTAAGATGAATAAGTCGAGGCGGCAAGTTTGATGGGACGAAGTTCGACATTTTAGAGGAAAGATGCGGTGGAAAATGTATGGTTCAGTGAAGGAAATCCAGTAGAGGCGCTTTTATTTGTTAGATGGATATTGCAATGGTAAATTTAGAAGTTGAAGTGGAGATTTCATAAGATAAGTTGATCATTTTGGGGGGACACGCCATGGGAGATTTATCATGTAGTGAGAGATTTCATTTTAGAGACGTCCTGGCTTGTTAGATGGATTATGTATAATGTAATGGCAGATTGGGTTTATAATAAATTTATGCTTGGCATTCCGCAGTGTTAATACTTTGTTGTAAGGACCAAAGGCTTTTTTCTTGTTGTAAGGTGCTAATAGCTAGAAAATTCCAATTTTTGTGTGTAAAATTTGATGACTTTAAAGGAGAAAAAACAGCGGAACTTTTAAGGACAAGCTGGTTGATAGAAAGCTGCAATAATAAAGAATATTTCACCCGCTATACGTATAGGAAATGACTATAGGCTGTGATCATTCAGATTCCTAGCTTTTCGAAATCATCATCCAAGTTTCTAAGCCTTTTACATTTTTCGCCCGACCCCCTTTGTATCTTTCCGGTCAAGAAGATATCCTGCTCGTCTGAGCTTAGCCTGTCGAAAGCTCGCACGATTGCTACTTTTTTCGCTTCCTCCTTTGCCTTCTTTCTGCGTTCTTCCGCAAGGTAACCCGCCATCGGACCCTCATCGTCAAGATAACGTTTGTAATTGGTGCAGCCCCAATACAGGTACCTATCGAATTTTTCCCACTCGTACTTAGGTACCTCTTCATCTGAGGGCTCCCTACAACCATGAGCATACGATGATTCGCAGGCTGAAGCATCGGCAGGCATATCCACATCGATACCGAGCCGTATCATCTGCTCTGTAACAACATGGTTCCACGTAACTTCATCTGGATGGTCTCGAATAAAGTTCAAAATGGGCTCCCGACTCCCCTGCCACTCGCTCCATTCCCACCATTCTGGACGATAACCTCCATGCTCCCAATCTATGATAGCGGTAACATGTCCATCTTTTACCATAATGTTAGATGCGTTGAGATCACCATGAGAGAGTACATATTTTGCTCCTTCCTTGAGGGGATAACTCTCCTTGAACTTCATTATTCTTTCCTGCGGGGTGCTGGATCGGTTAAGAATTCGGGGCTCTGTACGTGCCCACCATTCTTCTCGATCAGTAGTCATCAGATCCACATAGAAATATCGAGCTCCAAAATTTTGATCTCTGAGCGGCTTACCATCTGGAGCTTCTGGTTTTGTCGATGTGAATTTGCGTGCTTCCGCCAAATACTCTGCTATTTCCGTGCCGATTGTGCGATGCTGCTCTAAAGTGAGATCGTCCCAAGCGTTCAGGAGTGTTATGCCAGGGACTCTCTCCATCAATCGCCAGTAGCTGGTACTATCTTCCCAAGCACGCATATCTTTTGCTACAGGAACATTCGAATTCTCGCTCAAGAATTTACTTATTGCATAGTCCGAATTTGGTTTCGTGGGACGTCCCATTTCGTGTTTTGGGAGCTCTTTCAAAAAGTACTTTTCGCCCAGAGACCACATACCCCTACAGGAATTCATTGAGACCTTGACATGACTGAAATACGCGTCATGTTCCTGTAGGCTTGAGTTTAATCCACAGACGTGGCAAAGCAAGAAGTCTGGACTTTTTGGACGGTGGAGCTTGAGCTCTTCTATTGTCGTTCCCTCGAAAGGTTTATATAACGTCATTATCTTTATATATAATGACAGAGTTCAACATAAATGGCAAAATTTAGAGTAGCTGATTGGACTTGGGATGTTTCGACAGGTTGTGTTGCGGGGGAGGAAGGGAGTATGCTACACTGATATAGAGCAATGAAAAGAAAGAAATGAAATTTGAGAGCACAAAAACTGGGTTCAGAATATTTCAGCGCTCTTTAATCTTAAATCCGTTTCTGTAATAGAGAGGATGAGAAACTTTGTTAACACATTCCAGCTCTCTTTGTTGAATACATCAAGAACTGGGTTTTGTTGCTCAATATCCTCAGCCATCAAAGCCAATTACATATTCTATAGACTACAGAAAGGTGAATCAGGGAACAATTGATGGTTTCATCAATCTTTTAGTCTTGCTAGTGAGGTCTCCTCTGTCAGAGAGCCTTTTGTGTATCTTGCGGGGTTGCAAGCTTAACACGACACAAATCTAATCCTGATCACTCGAGTCTTTGCCTTAGGAATCACCTCTTGGTACATTTTCAATATTGCTTTTTCATCCTTTCATGTCCTTTACTGTAAGAGTATCCTTGCTAGGATCAACATAGATAGGACCAACAAGAGGCGACCGAAATGCTAGAATAAAATTCTTAAGAGCTTCCTTTCTAGAGATATGACAGACTTGTAGCAGAGGCGGAGAATCGCAGCATGCTTTGGCGTTGTATCGTATTGAGTTCCTGGAGAGGAAGCCAGGAAAGCGCTTCGCACATGTTTGCAGGTCTGATGATGACACTTCGTGGATCACAGTCAATTAAGGCATATTTCCAAACCATGATTTATAACACTTTAGGTAGCTGTAGAAACAATCTGAATTCTCGTTGTGACTGGGAGGGAACTGCAATGCGAGTTGACTCATGGCGTTGAAGCGTGTCGGCTGAATCTGGAGATAAAATTTTATTGCGTAGAAAGTTCTCTCGTCCTGCTACTTTATATACCCAACAAAGATGGATTACGGAAGTTTGCTCAATTGATCAGGTGTTTGAATAAGGTTACAGAAAGTACTATCACAAGTAATAATACAAAGATCGACTAGCGCAAAGAGGTGAAGTAGCTAGTATAGATTAGCATACGGCTAATTGCATTCTCCACTTGCAAAGAACGAGACTGGTCCGATACAGCAACAACATGACATTCCTCTATCTGCCTGTGACTGCCTAGGTACCGGACGGGATAGTGTCAAAAAAAGCAAGGTCTCTTGAAGATGAGCTTCTATATTGTTCTTGGATAGCGTCAAGCACTATCATCTTCTGTCCAAAAACGTGTTGTCCAATAGTTCGGATTGAAACCTGTCAATTAAAAGCTTTGAATCTCCAAATAAATTCAATTTACTAATGATTTGGATCGTTGGATTGATGTCTGCATAGTCTGTTGCTTTGAACATCTCGATCCAAGCAACCCATTTTCCGATTAAGGTTGTCACTTTGAGTATATAATATTTGAACATAAAATCAAATGCTTGAAAGTTACACTGTAGGCACAATTTGTAGGCAGTATTGGAAGGGTATCCACAGGGTATTCACGCCCCTGATATATGATCGTATGCAAATTGAGACAATTGACTTTCTGTTAACCTTTGAAAATTGAGGATTCTGTATCCTCAACCGTGTGATCAAAACTCGAGATTAGGCACTGTAGCTCGTCGATGATTCGCAGAAAGAGCGCAAAGAGAATTGATAGCATTTAGGAGGGAAGTTTGTCAGGTTACAGACAGAGTGTTTGAGCTAGGCATGAAAAGTGATGATATGATCTTTTGAAGCAATCTTTCAAGGAGAGATCTATTGACATGTGGAATACTGGCCTGGCATACTGCTGGAGGCAGAACGATGAAGTGCTTTTAGTACAAAGAAGAGTATCCCAATTCTAGCTATATGACTCTATCCACATTTAAGTAGAATATGCATGAGTGACGAAAGGACTGAGAGAGCTATCCCGTTGCATTGATATTCAATCAAATAGCACTAGCCATTGTTTAGATTATATACTGGTAGCGAGTTGGGTGATAAACAATCGATTATCAATACTCTGGCAAACTACACTTGTGAAGATCAGTGAAGTTACGTGAGTGATGTGGTGTGCTGTTGGCCATGGCGTAGTAGTTAGGTATGTTTTAAGGCGACGACAATAATCGAAAATCTAAAATTGGTCTGTGCTCAATAAATTTGTCGAGACGCGATATCAGCGCGCAGAGTAGTGGAAACTTATTCAAACGGCACTACAACACTCCACTATACAGGAAAACGTTGTGTTAATTTTATTCTGGCCCTTCACCCTATTACCCTTCACAGCAGATATACAAGAAAATTTCCAATATGCAGGCGCCTGTAGTAGTAATGAGTAAGTTTCGAAGGCTTTGAAGCTCTTCTGCCCACTACCCCTCATCCTTAAGAAACGACCGGAACGCTGACTATAGCTTCTAGATACCCAGAGTGGTGATAGACAAACTGGTCGAAAAGCTCAGATGTCGAATATCACCGCAGCCAAAACGTAGGAGCTCTTCACAGCACATACCGAGCACCCCGCCATTTCAACAAACCAGAACTGACACATAAATAGTGTCGCAGATATTATTCGATCATGTTTGGGCCCAAAAGCTATGCTAAAGATGCTGTTGGATCCTATGGGCGGTATTGTTTTGACAAATGACGGACATGCCATTCTCAGAGAAATTGAAGTGTCACATCCTGCAGCGAAGAGTATGATTGAGTTGAGCAGAACACAAGACGAGGAAGTTGGAGATGGAACTACTAGTGTTATTATTCTTGGTATGAAAAGGTTTTAGGAACTTGTAAAAAACGCAGCTGACAATTTCTAGCTGGTGAAATGTTGGCACAATCTCTTCCACAATTAGAAAGAAACATCCACCCTGTCGTTATTATTTCCGCTTTCAAGGCCGCACTGAAAGACGCTCTCGAGATCATTGAAGAAATTTCCCTCCCAGTCGATATCAACGATGACAAAGCCATGTATCAACTCATCTCATCCTCAATCGGCACAAAATTCGTTTCTAGATGGTCTGAACTCATGTGCAGCTTAGCACTCAAGGCTGTACGAACGGTAACTCACGAGATCGGAGGTGGCAAGAAAGAGGTTGACATCAAGCGTTATGCAAGAGTTGAAAAGATCCCAGGTGGAGAAATCGAGGACAGCAGAGTTTTGGATGGTGTTATGCTTAATAAAGATATTACCCACCCAAAGATGAGACGGAGAATCGAGAATCCCAGAATTATCCTATTAGATTGCACATTGGAATACAAGAAGGGAGAATCACAGACGAACATTGAGATCAGCAAAGAGGACGATTGGAACAAGATTTTGCAGATTGAGGAGGAGCAGGTCAAGCTTATGTGCGATTCTATTCTTGCTCTTAAGCCAGATTTGGTCATCACTGAAAAGGGTGTCTCTGGTATGTTGACTGCTCTCGTTATAGTTTGTTTTGCTAAACCTTGATAGATCTCGCACAACATTACCTGATGAAAGGAAACGTTACTGCACTCCGTCGTGTCCGAAAAACAGATAACAACAGAATAGCTCGTGCAACTGGCGCCACTGTTGTCAATAGAGTGGACGACCTCCAGGAATCTGATGTTGGAACCCAGTGTGGCCTTTTCGAGATCGAGAAGATTGGTGACGAATACTTCACGTTTTTGACCAAATGCGAATCACCAAAGGCATGCACTATCTTACTGAGAGGTCCATCCAAAGATATCTTGAATGAGATTGACAGAAACTTGGCTGATGCTATGGCCGTTGCAAGAAATGTTATGTTCCACCCTAGATTATCACCCGGAGGAGGTGCTACTGAAATGGCTGTTGCAGTCAGATTAGGCCAACTCGCAAAGAGTATCGAGGGTGTGCAACAATGGCCATACAAGGCTGTAGCTGAAGCCATGGAAGTCATCCCAAGAACTTTGATTCAAAATGCCGGTCAGAGTCCGGTCAGAGTCCTCACAGCATTGAGAGCAAAGCATGCTGAGGGTGGAAGTTCATGGGGCATTGACGGTGACAAGGGTACCTTGGTTGATATGAATGAGTACGGTGTTTGGGAGCCAGAGGCAGTCAAATTACAAAGTATCAAAACTGCAGTTGAGGTATGTGGATATATGCTTAGTAGTTTGCGAGCCATTAACTAATCTAATTTACAGTCCGCCTGCCTCCTCCTGAGGGTCGATGATATTTGCAGCGCCAAAGCCGCAAGAGCACCTGGTGCACCTGGAGGTGGGGAGGAATAAACCTTCCAATGTCAGTGTATAAAAAAAAGTGATGATAATATGGTTGATCATACCCTTTTAGCCATAGCATGGAGCTCACGGTTAATGATTGCATGTTCCTGTTTATGACAATGAATAGATATCAAGCCAATATACCATTTTTGGCCACTCTTTCCAATCCCTATGAAAGTTCTGACTGTGCCGGAATTTGAAATCACTGGTGAAGTTGAGCTTTTCCTGACTCGTATTATGCATCAATCATCATCGTGGATGATGACGCCGACTTGTTCCTGTGCCTCTCTAACAGTATTTGTCCCAGATACTTCATTATCATTATCTCCTTTAACACTTGCATCAATCCTAGGCATGAATTTTCCTGCATGCGTACCGGCAACGCCGCTAGAATGGTCGCCTTTACCACCTTTTTTCTGTCTCTTCTTTTCCCTCTTCTCCCTAGCCTTCCTCGTCTTTTCGGCATCTTTCTCTTCCCTCTCCTTTTTCTCCTTCTCCCATCGCTCCGCCTCCTCTTCCTTTTTAACCTCCTCATCC